CGAAACAGTCGCTCAAGTTTTAGTGGAATATGAGATGGAATTTTGAAGTTGCATCGTATTATTGTTTCAGTATGACTACCTATACGATTGGACGATTCTCAGCCAAAATTCGCATGAATCGAAAAAGTCGTCGAACGCATCGCCGATTAAACATGTCCATTAGCCCTGTTCAATGAACCGTTGCCAATCACCAAACATGTCCCTGCTTGGATCGATGATTTATCTCTTTTCTCAGTAGCGTTGTGTCCGTTTGATTCATTCGTTTCAATCTACCTATACAATCATCTCAAGTCCTCAGTGCTTTCTCCAATTATGCGCACTTGTCCAATGTATAATACCACAACGATGCTCAATTTCTTTCGTGGCCAATCGAATTCAACGAATTTGGAAGAAAATTGACAAATATAAGAAGATTGAACGCAATGTTTTCTGTAATGAAAAATTTGACGAATTAACATCGGTCGGTTTTGATATGAACATTTTTTCATTAATATTAGTACTTATTCATTGTGATTTCGTTCCTATAACCACCAAAATTGCAATAATCTTTTATTCGTAAGATTTGTTGTGTTCCTTCAAAGAGTTTTCAAGAGTTTAGAAGTGCCAATGTCACTTACGAATATATGACTACTGTAAACCGTCGTCCAAATAAGGGAAATCAGTCTTTATTGTACATTCTTGAATGGGATGAAGGCATGAGAACCCGCTAACTTCAACTAACAAAGTCTTTCATGCCAATTCGTGGAAATATAAATTAATTCGCTTTGATACCTTCAACAAAGTTTTTATTTCGTCTTTTTTTGCTATGTCACCTATCAGTTAAATGTTGTATGTCAGTATTTCTCTTGCCTTTTCTTTCATTGTAATCATTCGGAAGCTTTTGCTTTCCATTCCGAGCTGTATGATGAGTGAAATTGTGTGTAATATTATTTATATCTTTTGAATGCATATGTTTGAAGTTGTATCACGAAACGGTTTCAGTGTAGAGAATAAATTTCATTTCTGTGTATTTCATTGGTTGCGATTCATTCTGAATGATGGCGATCGATGTCGATTCAAAAACCACATTAGAGGTTAAGTAATCATAATGAAAGTATGAGAAATTGGTCACTCATAATGCGACAACTCACCATAAATGCAGGAATATAGTCAATTACAGTGTGAAAACAATCGTGTTCATATTGCAAAGTTTATATAGAATCTTTTCAAAAATCCACCAACTCAATACCCAATTTTGAGTTGCATTTCACCGTGCAAGCAAAGTCACCCGGCAACATAGAATCTATGCATTCATGAAATTAAGTCCACAGACAAAAAGAGTAGACAGTAAGGTGCACTTTTGATATCAATGTTCCTTGGTGGTGAAAAGAAGTACTGCATGGGGTGATGTTCATGAATTGCGATGTTTTCGGACGAATCGTGATGTTTTTGAGCAACGAATTTCAGACGAATTATTTATCGTTCTAAAATGATATGCATGAAGAGAAACGATGTATATGATTATTCATTCATTAAAATTATTACTATTGACAGCAATAGCAATTATTAAGAGCAATTACTACTATTATTACTTACTATTTATTTACTCTTTATTTACTGTGTCATGATTATTAATTGTAAGAGCAGTATCACCCAGCTAATGCGTATTTGTAAGCAAAAGAATGATGAATTCTCATCAAGTGAAAAACGCTACTGTAATGTTGCTCAGAAGGTATGACACTCAGATTTGATCTGCGATACTCGGTGCATTGGTTGACCACAACGTTGGCGGGACACTGCTTCTCAGGTTTGTCTATCTACATATGAATATTTTGATTCTGGTAGACTGAGGAGAATCTCAGCTGTTTGAAAGTATATATTATGAGTGGTCAATTTCGCTCCTTTACTCAGAGATCCTCCATTTTCTGAAGTTATATCACTGAAGTTCTGTCACTCAGATTTGATCTGCGATACCCAGAGCACCGGTCGACTGCAATATTGAAGGAACCTTGTTGCTCACAGGTCCTCCAATCTAATATGGAAAAGTTTATACGTTGTTGTTTAGTTTTGCTTAGATTCAGAGAAACAGCTGAATTTTTGAAGGTATCTCACTTGCTGTGCCTAGCTCATTTCATTGCAGTGAATGTTCTATGGTAATTTAAAATTATGATCAAATTCAAGACCAAACCTAACATACGATGAAGATTTTGGTCTTATCTATTGTCGTTAATCGTTGACTATATACAATTCATTGCGATAATTGTTCGAATAGTGATAATAAATCTGTATTTGAAATATTTATGTCAACAACGTCAAATGACATCGCCGAGTTGAAACCACGTGTCAGCCACACTAAAACAATATACACAAATTTAAAAACTAATCGGTCCTTGTGAGAACAGTGGCTTATCACCGATTGATCCTGTATTTATTCGACTGTTCCGAGTATCCGAAACAAAAATTGATTGATCATTACGAGAAGTTTGGTTTCTCCAGTAAGAGCTGGTCATAGAGCAGGTATTCACCGATAGTGATCTGTGCACTCGTCGTCCATTCGAATATAAATCGGTAAAAATTATGCTGTGAAACACGTCTCAAATATTTATTTTCTTCACATGGTAAGATGAACTAATGGCTACATCAAGCCAAAACAGTGCATACATAAATAAACAGCGCAATATCTTTAATGGAGCCATAACGACGATCGCCGTGCTTAAAGTATTCACCAACCAGGAAAATTTCAACTCATTCTTCGATGATTACATCCATAGCACGGAGGAGGATATTGCTCTAGTCCCTTGCAAAAAATAACTTCAGGTGCACTGGTTAACTCCTTCTCTTCCCCAACTCCAGTTACTAGTTCTAATCAAACTATTGTGGTTCTGTTCTGTTCCAAGGAACAGAAAAGAACACTTTCAAAAAAGACGCAAGGAATAGAACAGCTGAATGGCGGAATAGGTAAGAGCAATTTGAAAATTTGGTGTGTGAGAACAGAGCAGCTGTCAAAAAGAAATGTGGCGAGCAGAACGGAATGGAGCAGTTTAAAGGACTGAATGGGACAGATTTCGGCTGTTCTTTCGACTGTTCTCTGTAAAGCATTGCTGCTAGTATGAGATGTGGTACTATTTTGGTACTATGGTCATTATTGCCATTATTTTGATGATCATTATTACTATTAAATTATTATTACCTTTATTATTACCATTATTATTACTGTCATTATCATCATGACTATTACATATTGCGAATATTTTTGAACTCTTACAATAATAATCTATAAACTTCATTTAAAATCATTCCAAATTATGAAGCACAAGTGCTAATTTAACATAAACCAAAGAAGATAAAAATTCTTCAGCATGATGGAAATACACGCGAAAATGAATATCTATGAAAACAAAACGGATGTAACAGTTAATCGTTATAGTCAGAAATACTGACATATAAATATGCATATAGTTGAAGTAGAAAGATTCTCTTCGCTTTGGGCAGTATCATGTGAAAACACCAGAAATCAATGAGAAGAAGCACAGAAAAGCAATTCAATGCATTGAGAAGATTCGGTATTTTGTCCACTGGTCGTGTCGGAAGAGTAGGGGGGAACTTAGTCTCATCCTCAAAGAATCTACAATGCTCGGATATACTGATCAGTGAACCGAAAAAGGTGAGCATTTGGTGATTCACTGAAGTAAGACAATCAACCCTCGAAATCTGAAGCATTGCACGTGAGGATGTTTGCGTTTAAACTGATTTGCAGCAACTTTGTTAGCACTACTCGTCATCCTTGTAAAAGCGACGCATTTTAACAAAATTCTGAAAAAAAGATGAAAATAATAAACGTACAACCTGAAAGGACTGGAACCGAATGTGGACGAAAATCGATATGAAACTGATAAGAATGCAAAGATTAATGATTGCGAAGAGTAAACCAAACTTGGAATTTAAGATAGGAAAGGCGGTAGTGATTAATTCGACGGTTTAAAACTTGGGATAATGCATACTGGCAGCTTCAAAAATTATCTGGATTCAAAAATTATTAAAAAAATAATTGTTTCAATTTGCTTGATTAGATTCTGGCTTAGGCTTCCTGTAAAGCTTATTTCATGACTCGCTTAAGTTTATAGTGATTTGAAACTACAATCGGATGATTTCCGCCTGCTATTGACTTTCATCATGGTAGAAGATTTTGTCATTGTGAACGCTTCAGTTTGAAGAAGTTGTAATTTGGCTACGAACCTTTGGCGTCGTAGTAAATCTAAACGAGCGTCCAGCTGGTATAATGATCATATCACCATCTTCACAAAGTATTCGTACCCAGTGTCCGTCGTCGTCCTCGAAATCATAGTATGCCGACCCCTCGATAATCATCCTTGCCTGTTCCCAATCCAGTTCAGTCTCCTCGAATAATTCTGCGATCTGAAAGCGTCACGTCAATTGAATCAACTGATTTGTACGGTATATCAAATCATTTAAGTGTATCAATCGAATCGTCTACTGATTTGACGGAATATATCAGAATTATTTCCCAAGTAATTCAAATCTAATCACTTTTTCGTAGAAATCAACCGTCGTTTCAGCGTCCAATGTGAACATGTCTTCTCTTGTTAAGTTCCGTTCCAATTTTAATAGCGCGATGCGTTTTGACATTCCTATTTGGTCCATTGTATCAATCTGAAACCACTCTCTGCTTTGCTCGATTCTCATCATAAGAACGCAATCTGCTAAACGAAGCTGATCGAGTACTTGACTGTCGTACAAAAAATAATCTTTTTATATCTGCAGTCGAAATGTTTTGGATAAATCAAGCCTGAAACTAAGCCTGAGCGTAACTCCGATAAGGGAATTCAGCCTAAGCTTATCCGCCTCAAATTCTAGCCACAGTGGTTGAACACACGAACAAAAGACCGTTAAATTCAATTATTCGATTACTGGCCCGTCACATGATTCAATTCCCTTCTAACGACCTCTTTGCTTCTTCGTTCTTCAGTCAGCATTCTTTGGAGTGTGCTATTTCTGGGCACAACTTCCACGACGTATTTTTCAAGTCACCCCCAACTAAATCTTAATCTTGTTACCATTAAAACTGATGACCACCGTAGGTGACAATGCTGTGTAAATTAGAGACTACATTCAATATATTTTCATGATATTCCGAAGATATATCACAAAAGTATCATCTTAATCGAGAAGTTATAGACAGAACCTATATATCTTATTTCACCTTCACAGGAACTACTTGGAACGCCCCACATTGATATCTTGTATTGTTTGATTTCCTACGATTTTCGCCTTACACCCTCTGCATTTACCCACAAAATATTTGAGATTGTTTATGAGTGAATTTCAGGCCGAGCCATCATTAGACCCAGGTTCACTTTCAAGCCAGCTGACGAGTGTGGAGAACAACTTGTCTCGAAATACATTAAACCTAGAGCAATTTAATCGATCACAGTTAACTTGCGTAAATCGTCTGTAGTATCTTCGACGTAGTCTAAAATATCCAATGACACCAATCGAAATTATGTGGAGAAATAAAATTTTATGAATTCGTCTATAAATATGGTATATTGACCAGCTTATTTCACCCATTAAGAAATGAACGAACTATAATATTTTACCTTGAAATAAAGAGCACCGGTCTTCTTGGTCATCTCATCAGGGGTAATTTTCTTCGGAGGGAACATGTGATGCGGTAGACGAGGATCACCGAATGGATATGATTCCATGTACCAAATTTGAACCATCCTTATAAATAATGCTGAAGTTAAGCCAAGAACGCATTTTTGCGATTCATTTCGCCTTTCGAATTATAAGGCGGCTTTTGTGAAATGAAATAGATGTCGCGTCTCGATTCATTGTTACTGTTCGCCGACGACTCAAGAATTGTCGGCGAGCAGTAACAATAAGCTTCCAATAAAAACTGTGCAATTTTGGTTTTTTGGGCCTGAATGATCCAGTAGATTATTACCTGTGGCAATTGCTAGTAGTCGTCAAAATACTCATCTTTATTTCATCATTTTATTTTAGCAGGGAGTAATTAAGTTAGCATCTACGTACGTTGTTCATAATCAACAACTTGCTGTATTATTTTAATTTTTGATGCACCCAGTGAATACTATGCACGTTACAAGACGCCAAACTGCAAAGGAAGTTTACTTCAACTCAGTATCTCGATGTAAACTGCCATGAATTTCAAGAATTTTCTAAAACTTGGGAGGGGGCATTTCGAGGGTTCCATCGATAACCGAGAACATAAGACAGCGTTTCTTCAGAGAATGAATTCCATTTAGAAATGACCTATGATCTGTTCGACTCAAAATTCTTATAAGCTACACAACATCGAACACATTTTGTTAATAACTGCTTAGTATATTAGTTTCGCGAGAGGGACACTGAAAAAAAAAACAATCGTTATGGCGCCTTGAATATGATCAGTGTTTGCATGAGATCTCGGTAATACCGAATGGCGGTATTAGAAAAGCGATACCGATCTCGGGATCCGTGGTTATTCATACACACGGCATTTTAAGTGAATTTGGTAGTAGAGCCATCACGACTGGAGCATTGAATGGAGGTAAGCGTGGTGAGACCAGTTTCATAATATTTTTTTGTTTTTTAATTGAATTTTTTGTTGAACTTCTTGAGCCGTGGTGAGCGATTTGCTAAATAAATTGTTTTCTGAGTAATTACGAACACACTGGCTCAAAAAGATGTGCTGAACAAGTCACATTTCAGTATTTCAAAAGTTGCTTTTCAATATCGGTATCGTATCGGTATTGAAGAACGATAACGGTATTAATACCGATCTCGCTATTGAGAAAATAGTCGACATTTTGCGAACACTAAATACGATATTCAAAAGTATCATTTTATCTAATTGTAAGATATTCTGCAATTCGCCAGCTGCAAAACTGACCAAGCGATTAATGTATATAAAATAAAAGGTTCTGTTCATGGCATGCCTTTTAATCATGCCATCTTTGCCTTACAAGCTCTTCAATACAAGGTGGTCGAAGTTAATGTTGTTGTTATGGATGAACGTAGGTTTGGTTGGGGTTTCATTTCTGGTCTAGGTGGACACATGAACAAGTAGTCAAAAATCCGATATTCTGTTGTTTTTTTTTCAGGTAAAGTAAATGATATCAGAAATTGTACTAGCCAAGGTTTGGAGATAGCGACATTTCATGTTTCTCGCATTCTTTGCATAGTGCCACGACGATGCGTTGTTGACAAATATATCTTTGGGGTGATTGAAAATTAGTTCGGGAAAGATTCACGAAGTTGAAAGTAATATTCAGTGAAAGTAATTTCAGAGCGAAATGCGTTTGCAGTGCATTGTAGTCACCTAATGAATTAACGAATAAATCACTGGGAAGGGCTTGAGACAAACCCAAACAAAATCATTAGAATCGACAGTGGAATATTCAGTTGGGATGTAATTCATGAAATAGTAAATAATTGAGTTATCTGAACGATACCACTTTCAAACTGATCTCTCGCACAATGACACGCTTTCTGTGGTTGAAAAACTCGTTAAGGAAACATTGACGTACGTAATTCAACTGATGCAATTCTATACGATTTTCTTGCTTAGTCGTTGATCAATCGAGATTGGTGTGACGGGCATTCACACTGACTATTTATTTGACGAACATGAGGATCTGAATATTTGTTGAAAACTCTGGTAAACTTATGGTTAGGCAATGGAACGTGTTCTCTTTGAAAACGATCATTGTCTCTCTTCTTTTATCTGTTAGTAAAATTCTCACCTAACTTATCCCTTGAAGGCAGCTTTTTTTGTCAAATTCCAGCGAAGTTTTTAAAGAATTAGTGCTCTCCCTATCACTTCCATTCATCAGTTTATCCGCTGAGTTTGTTTCAAAAGTTTCTGCCTGACGAGGATAAAATATAATCAAAGAAAATAAATCGAAGCGGTAATAAACCTGAATGAAAATGAATACTAAACACTTTATGTCAAGATCCATAGACTTCAACCGCGTGAAGGTCTTTTTTGAGACTCTCAGGAGCAGTGATTTTCATGTCGACAATGCCATGGGGATTTGAAGGGGTTTGCAAATCAATGTCGATCGCTTTTGCATAATTCATCTCGAGTGACCATTTAAAAATGTTTCCAAAATGCTCGTTTGAAGGCGAGAAATTCACTGATTTGAATCCACCAACGAATTCTTGATAGAGAACTTGATGACTGAATCAATTTTTTGAATTCTCTCAAATTATCGGAGGAAGTAGAAGGGTACTGGTAGTTGACCATATGATCAAGGGGACGGCACGAGGGTGTGAGAGCCACTAGTCCATGTAATGCCCCTTTGTGGAGCAAATGAGATAAGCACATGAAAATAAGTAAATTCTGATTTGTTCGAAGAAACGCTGGTACAACTGTCTTTAGTATGGAGATAACTCCAGATGGAAGGCAGCTACCAATGCGAAATATATTACACCTTCAATGCTTTGGGCGTACTCAAATGCAAAATGAAGTACACTGAACATGGAAGCACTTAATATGAAGTTTATATGAACTTGAAAGATCAGAAATGACGAGTCCTTAATGAACGATTAATGGGACGGATGTGAAATACGATTGGAATGATGCACTTTATTGATCATGTCATTGCTATTAAAAATGTTTCATGGTGTCCATAAAACAAAATGTTTCATATTATAAAATGTTTCATATTATTACGTTTCATATCGAACATGAAAAACATCAAGTTCACATTCAAAATAAATTGAATTCAATCGCATTAATCAATGGCCTCGAAAAGATATAATTGTACAATTGAATGGCACTGAATGAAGTTACGGCTGAATCAACAAAGTTAGTGAAAACTTAACGACATCTATGACAGCTCATTTGGTTAAGCGAGTATCCGGTTGATGTAAAAGGTCATCCATCAAATGTTCATTTCATAGAAATTTTGTCGGGAATAGTAATGGCGACCGAACGAACTTTAGTTTTGATAATCTTTGATAACAAATTTTGGTTTTGATAATTGCATTAACAACTATGAACGCGATCGTTTTCCTGCGAGCAGCGATTCTCTCAGCCATGAATTTCAAATGAACTAAGAATCAATCATGTTGATCATAAAAAGGAACGCAATCATGCGATAATACTTGCGCGTTTCTAGCATTAAAATCAAATGGCATTTTTATTATTCGGTGATTTTTGTTTAACAACTATGAATTTGCTTACTTTCATTTCAAACTCAACGGTTAATGAGGATGATCAATCTTGGTGATAAGGGTACAAAGAATGTTGATAGTAACGATGCTGATAGCGACGATAACAACGATGATAATAATAAGACTAACAATAATAATGATAATAATAATAATAATAATAATAATAATAATAATGTTGATAAAAATGATACTTTAGTAAATTTATTGAACTGATTTCGAACGGATCATTTAAAACTGATCTCTGCAAATGATCAATTCGAACAATGAACAATTGTAATGATAAGAAATTAGGTGTGTAAATTAAAGAATGACTGATGACTTGAATAAATGAATAGAAATACAGTGTTAATTTCATCATTACTAATGTTAAATAAACATATTGACAATGAATAATTTTGAATGGAGGAAGCAGACATATAGAAGTGAAGCAGACAACGCAAAAATTTTAAAAGTTTTATCGAAAAAAGTTCAACCGAAGTTGTACTCGGCAATGATTGAATTGAATAAAATAACAATCAAAACATTCTTGCGGACCGGTTCTCCGAGAAAATCATTCATCTCTTGATAGATTTCTTGATATCGTATTGAAGTTTCGGATATTTTCCGCCTTAATATTATCATCGTCATTGTTAACAGAAGTGACCACATCATTCACAACAATACATGAAAATCATTTTTACGAATTCTCATGCTCACCATCTTCATACAATACAATTGTATTATTATTGTTATTATTGGATTAGGTAATGCATTGCTTGCTTTCATTACTCCGAACTTTTTTCACTATCCAACATGCTGTAGCATTATTATTTTCATTTACCATCAGTACAGTACTAGCGAATACTTTTTGAAAATCTTTTCGCCTCATCCAAGTCGAAGCCCATTTAAAAATAATCTATCCCAGAACAATTTCACTCATTAGTGTGCGTCAGTTTCGTACGGTCACTAATTTTCTAACTAATATGAGCGCTTGTTCGTTCAACTTCAGAGAATGTCGAAGAAAATCAGCGAATCGCGCGTACAAACTCCTCATCTCATTTCTGAACCAGAATGTTCTTACGCTTGATTTGAATTCAGTGATTTTATTACGCGATCAGTGGATGGAACGAAGGTGGAGTGGTGCCTAATGAGGGAAAAAAATTTCCAATTCAATTTTATCGCTTGATGTGGATGAAAAATGAAAACAATTTTAGATTTTACGGTAAAGTTGGTTCACCTTCAGCATGTCAAAACTTGAATTTTGTTTCTCGGTGAGCTGAGTCAACTAATGCGCGTGAATGGTTTCAGAGAAGAAGTTAACTCATGCTTAACAGACGGGTTAGTGAAGGAGGGATGGACAAAAAAGTGGAGTTTGCACTGAGACAACAAAAAACTGGAATAGAATATGATGTGTGAATCACTTTAAAATGATTGTATGCATGAAACTTGGCGGACTAAATTCATTTCTAATAATATTTATACTATTGATGCGAACATTCAGTTTCTTCTTCAAGCTTTCCTCATAGCAAAAAGATGAATTTGAAAGTTCAATTCGAACATTTGCACTAGCCAAGGCCACGTCCATGTGCAGTACTTTCTGTCCTTCGAACACGACAATTAATGACAATTCATCATAAGTTTTTAGCTCAATTTTTTGGTTTACAGTCAAACTTAGGATCAAGACAAGGTTTGGATCAACGCTTCGAGTGCATTGATCAATGAAGAATGATAACCATGAGCCGGAAAACCTCAAGTGGAATTCACGAATGACTTGATATTGAAAGTAGATCATATTTTGATGTTTGAATGAGATCGAAAGAGAACTACAAAGCTGTGATGAAGTGCGACATGTAGGAAGGTCTCGGATGTTATTTAATCTTATTCGTTGAAATGAAACTGAGGTTCAAGCTCCGGTTTACTTTTAGACTTATGCTTAGGCTGATGCTTATGCTAAGGCTTGCAATGGGGCAGAATGTTAGCATTGCTTTCTACCAATCCGCCTTGTCAGCCTATTCAATAAGTGATGTGGCAGCTGATAAAGTTGAGTTCAGGCTCTGAACATTTTGCTTCAAGCTTTCTTCCCAGCTAAGACCGAACGAAATGGATTGAGATGATTGTTGTGGAAATTTTTTTGGTCAACCTAGGTTTATTTGTCCACAGATTATTTATTTGCTTGCAACGACACCCATAAGTTTTTTAGTAGTGACAATATCTGAACTGAATATATTCTACAGATTGATCAGCGATGCCTACTGTTAGGTGACTCATTTTATTCAATAGTTTACGAGAGAATTGTATTGTGATTCGGGCTTAGGGCTCGGCTGATTAACGACTCTCGACTTCTTTCAGTTCATCGTTCACAAGCCGTCCACTACCGATGACAACATTCAGAATTTAACGGTTCGTAATCTAAAACCGCTTAATTCAATCATGATCAAATGGTGAACGTAAAACAGGTGTAATAAAAACGCAAAAGATATGATAATTTGTAACAAGCAGAAGCGAATACATTTTCCTATCATACAAGCTTGTGTAAGTCTCATTGTCATGCTGAAAGTTCAATTGAAACTCAAACTAAGACAAAGAATGTGAGCCGTTCGAAAGAGTGCAACACAGCTATTTAATCATTCGATTTATGTTCATTCCAATAATTAATTCTTTCATTACTTACTGTGATTGAATGAAGGAATGAAAGAAATTTTTAGCAGAGGACGATAAGTCTGAATCATTCATTTTTTATATTGTCACTGTAACGAGGGACGTGACGCCGAGAACTGATAGTGAATCACGATAACCAAAAAACGGACATGAACAGTATCTAAAATACAGTATTTGCTATGCAACCCACTGGAATAATATGGAACAATAGAGCATTTTGATCGCTCTAGAACACTCGAATGATCTAAAGATTTACAATTTTCCTTATGCAATTTGAGAAGTTTGCACATGCATCCACCTGAGTGTATTTCCATCTGATTGACTTAGATTAGGTGTGCGATCAGTCTTAGACTAACTGTGAGACTCAGAAGGACCTAAAATACACCGTATGCGCTTATAGATCCTTAAGAGTTTCACAGCTCATTAGCATCAAGCGCTATCAGAGGAGAAATATTAGAAAAAGCAGCAGTTACACAGCTATTACATCCGTTGAATATAACACCCATTCATCATTTCTATAGCCGATTGGTAAATTGTTTGGTAGAATGAATAGATGCATTAGAAATTTTAAATTCTCGTATTTAGATATCTGCTACACTGCATAATATGGTGATCTCAAGAAAGGTGACTGAAATTGAAATAAGGTGACTGAAATAAGGTTTTATGAATAATTATCAGACAATCTGCTGAATTTTACGCCAATTCCAAATAAACGGTTCGGCAGATTTACAATCAGTCTCAAGCTCAAGCTGACAATAAAGCTCGAGCTCACACAGTCGATCGAAGCCAACTCAGTGATACAACGAAATTTCCAAGCACTAATCATATTATGAAATGGGATAATCACAGAGAGGCACAAAGTAACAAACAAAGTCAATTCAAAACATCCTTTTCTTACGATATCTTTGCATCGAATGATGACTACAAAAGAGCATTCGTGTTTAAACCATTAAAAGGTTTTGGTTTCGTCGATGAATTCCCATTCGCTTAATATTGTTCACATCCAAATTATTTATTCATGCGAACATCGTATTCAATCTTTTCTTATTCATCTTTTGTCATCATACGAAACCAGTTCTCTCCGTTGATGAAAGTGAACGGATATACAAGGATGACAATAATAATAACAAAAACAATAATTTAATAGCACCATTGTTATGTCGTTGAAGACTGATGATGAGCGACCCTAGACGACGAAGCAAGCCTTTACTTAGGATCAAACCAAGACAATCAAGACAATGAAATCTCGCCCTTATATAGAGCTTTTTGTATGTAAATTTCTAACAACAGACGACAGACAACTCATAGACAAATCAGCAGATCACGTATGCTCATTTGATCACTACACAACAACCATTAACAATGATAATAACATTGATAACAACACCAAATAAAGCCATGATTTTGCCCGTAATGAATAGTCGACTGATATATAAATAGATACGGTACGAAGTTGCAGAATGAAGTTAGGAAGTTAGTTGTGCACAAAGCTGTTTTATTGCAAAACTTGTTCGTATTCTTAAATAACTGACTAGGAAAGGTCACAAACTTAATCTGGCGTTTCGCGATGAAATATACATCAGATTGTAGAGCTCCTCGAGCTGATCATGAATATGTAAAAAATTTTTGCGAAACACAAAGGGGAGGCGAAATATGGCGGGGAAAATGTGAGTGAAATTATCATTACCACTGATGAGTAGGTGCCAATGCTAGCACGGTTTCGGTTGATAAATCATTCATGTTATTTTATGCGCGCGATTTATCGTTTCCATTACCCTCAGTCGTATCCCGTCCTTCATTCATTCATAATATATGAGTAACCGGAGTTCTTGATTAATTCTCAATTAATTTCCTTTTTCTTTTTCTTATCCGCGCATTATTCGTCGTATCCCGTCCATTAATTCCAATTTCCTTTTCTTCGCTTACTTTAACAAACATAATCCGTAATTTTCGTTCTGTTTTCAAAACGCATATTTTTCAGATCGTTTAGATTCTCAACAATTGTTTCGCTCTGTTTGTGGAAAATTTGATGAAACATGTTGGAGTTTTCAACATTCGAATGACTATTCATAAAAAGCGATTGTTTCCACACCGTGGTTTAAGAGCCATTAATAAAAATTATTTATGATCACTGCATTGTGATTCTTGCTCGTAGTATTGGTGAACTGATCAAATCGTTGATCAAATCAGAGTACAAAAAACCATCTGGAAAGGCTTGATTGATATATTAAACATTAAAAAACTTGTAAATTGATCATCCCAGCGAAAACTTTTTTGCAGTTTATAAGGTTTCCCTCCGTCGTGTCCTTAATTCAGCCCGATCATTCTTCAGCTTAAGCAATTCTATTGATCATCAAATTGCAATACTTGCTCCGCTCGAAAAATAAATTCTCACTAATAGTGTGGATTTTCTATCGATTACAAAAAAATCCTTTCACCATCAAACTTTTTGCTGATCATAAGACATTTCATCCATTCCCTAGAAAAAACATGTTATGATTTTGCATTTATTGAATAGCAGTGGAAATTAATTTGATCGTTTAATTTGAAAATTTCACATCTATACTCTACCTATTGCTTCTGAATTGGAGTTTTTATTCACAGTCAACAAATAGCATTCAATCTAAAATATCTCTTTTTTTATCAGCTCCTCTCCGACACCAAAACCACATTTTCCTTTACAATTGCGAATTCGCTGCTTGATTTCACTTCGAGCGAATGATTTTCTAATGTTTTCTTTAAGTTTTACAAACGCTAACTGACGATCGTGTTCAAATTGCCTTCACTTGCCCATCAATTAATGCGACAATGTTTCAAGGCCTAAACATATCATAAATCCTTTTATAGAAACCTGCTACAGTATATTTTCCACCATTTTCTCCCCTTCCATTTTCCTCGAATCAGGACATGTACAATAGAAAGTCGGAAACTTAACACTCTTCAGTCTAACTGTAAGCAATTTCCTGCAATTAAGAGCTTCAAGTGAACCGTCATACCCACAGGTTTTTTGAATATTCGAAGAATTAGTGCATTGGTGTGCATAAAAATTGATGAAATTATTAAACTTGCAATAGAACAAACCATCAAATTTGGTTCATTTTCTACAACGCTCCACTTCTAGAACTAGCGATTCTGTCCATGAAAAATAATGTAGTCATGGTCACCCCTGTCTATTGGCTTGTTAATTTGGCATAAATTTACACCTGTTCATGATAATTTATTATTTATCATCGACGGAAAGCAAAAATATTCATTATTTTTTTACAGTGAAGATATTCGACCCAAGTTTCGTCGCTGAAATCCGCTGAAATCCGAATTCCAGTCGGAATACGGGATTTGGACACCGAGTGAAGAATTTTGAAGTTGCTTCAGGCAACCGAACTTTGAAAAAATCTTAGGTCGTGAATTCGGTCGGATTCTGATCGAACCGAAATTTCATTCGATATTTTGATGTATGAATGTCATTGATCACATCAACATCTCAATACTCATTGATAATGACAAAGCGATTGATAGAATTAGAAATGAACGATGGAAGTGTCGTTTACATAATCAAAAGCATATAAGACACGATGAACAAATTGAGTGCTACTATCGTTTCAATTTGTTACAGTCATCACGAACGACTGAGCCACGATAGCAAACGATCACAATCACGCTTAAACTGATCATGTAAAATATTATACCAACCAAGCAAAGTGTCATATTCATGCTGTATTCATCTTCAGCGTAGATCTCATCCAAATAATCTTTTCCATTATTCCACCTGCAGTATAAATAATTATTAATGAATTATTTTTGATAAATGGAACACTTTTCGGATCAGGCGAAAACAGGATAACTTTTACAAAATAACACTAAACTCTTGAATTTTTTCTGCCTTCTCTTGAGCGCGTCTGTCAAATAGTGATTTATTGGGAGAAAGAATAAGCGATTCTGCCATAATCTTAATGTTAGCCAAGGGTCAAAGAAGGTTGAGCGCCACTGTTCCGGATTATCTGCACATGCACTCAGCGGTATCTCCGTGATTTATAACAGCCAGTTGCATCGTGATCACTTTTGCTTAGCAGCTCAAACCTCGACTTAGGCCCAAAATTCCGACTCATCTTGGACTTATGACTGAGGGGAACCACCACGTAAAGTACTGAGGTGCACTTAATACCGGTTTGATGACAAAGTATCGATGAGGGAAAACTCTCTCCTGGGGAGAAGCATAAATTTGACATCATGACGATCTGATATGAATGCTTTTTAATCAAATTATCACTGAGATTGAAAATTCAACAACTATTATATTCACGAGTGGAAATGAGATTATTATTGACCTGCAAAAGTCGCCCGATGGAGCTGTGTCATTTTGCAAGCATCTTGTCGTGTTGACTGATGCAACAAACTGAGCGTTGAATATTGATGATAAATAATGATAAACACTCAAATACGTACCATAATATATCGAGGAACTGATCGATGCGTAACTACGCGGTGACCTTAACAATGTTTTGGATGAGATTCTAATCGGTAAACTGAATCAGGTTAACCAATTTCTGAATGAGGTTAACCAATTTGACCAATGGATAAAAAATTTTTGCGAAGAGAAAGTATAGATTCATAGCGTCGATGCTATTCCAACTGAACTGACAGTGCAATAAAACGAGACGAAAGCGGCAGTGAAAACATTCATTGCTATTAATTTCTCAGGTTGCAGAGCGAGAGGTAGGAATATAATTCCCTGAATACCGTTCAGGGCAGGTATAACAGTTTTGTGATTGGTGTTTTCGGGGAAGTATGCACCGAAAAATCTGGCTTCCTAAGTTCCTGGTCCAGGTTCCCTTCAACGGGATCCTCTCCTGGCCATCAAGTTGCTCTTTGACGAACACTAATGTAAGTTTGTGACATTTTTGAATGAATACCGTTGGTTTTATAATAAATATCAGTGCAAAACAGCTGTTCTCCTAGGGAAAAATTAATTGCTGAAAAATCGGTTACGGTCGAGAACCTTAGAAATGCTCCTGCGTAGACGATTGACGAAGCAGTGAATGTCAGTGAGATGAACATTGCTTTAAACGAACTTCGAATGAGATTCATCAATGAAACTGTCGTCATGAATGATATCTGATAAGAAGACCATATCAGAAATGATATGAGCGCATAATCGAACAGTCCAGGTGATAGATTTATTAACCTGAAATCAGTGAAATAATCGACACCCTTTGGTAAATCGTCCTCATGAATCGACTTATAGCATGGTACTCAGTGAAGAAGGTTCGCGGAAGTATGATTTAAAATATCTTGAAATACACTTCAAATAATCACCGTATGCTAATGCACCAGATAATCAATCAAATTCAAAAAGGCACTCTGAAAACTATGGAACAAACCAAATGAGGATTGAAATTGATGTAGAAATCGCGAGAATATCGATGGGAAGGCAAGCGATCAAAAATGATAGCACTCCCAATGCAGAGCTGATTAAACCGTTCGTTATTTCGAATGCCATTTGCAATCTTAACACTGAGTCTAAAATTTTGCGAACATCAAAGCTCAACATAGACTGATTGAAGAAAACAGCTATGAAGATGAGTATCATTCGGATATTCATCACCCCACTTCCTCGCATAGCTACCATTGATTTTCTATGATCTCTCATGCGACTTTGTTTAGCATTCGTTAGTTATCTCCGTTGTTTGTTGAGTGAATATCGACGAAAATATCACTAGTAGAACAATGCTGTATGCGAGGTTATGAAGGATGGAATCTGTTTTTTTTTTTCAGAAATCCCGAAAACGATGCATACATGATAAATATTCCTGTCTAATCTTCTATGGTATTTCTGCTATTTTCAGTAGTCAACTTGATATCCGAAAATATCCATCGTAAATTAAGTGGTTTCGATGAAACGGAGAGGAGATCAGCAAACGTACACGAGCTAACAGCACAAAATATGCCCGCAAATGAGAACAGCAACATGCAGTTGAAGAAAAGCGCAGCCAAACTCGACGGCATATTGGGGCCTTGATGAGGCAGTTCAATACCGTAAAATGCAATGCACAATGCACACAAAGGTAGCAATATAATTCGACATAATAATGCATCGCACATTGATAATAAAACGACGACATTACGCCTGAAATACTAGCTACTTTAAACCATTGATAATTTCAGATCCACATAAATTTTATCCTTTGAGGGTCGAACAGGCAAGTTTTGACCAAACTGAAATGGTACTAGGCAAAAATTGATCCAAAACTCGATCGTCCCTTTTGACTGATTGAATGACGACTAACCGATCAGTTTGGAATTATGAAACTTGAGTCAGTTAATGAATACAGACATGGGTTGGTCACGTACTTAGCATCGTTTAATTTTGGACTCATTTATGCTCAGTTATGGGCAAGATTTGTAAGTACTTCTAGAATTTTATGCATTATTCAAAGTTGGGAATCCAATCATTTGGAAGTAAACAATCGCTCTCCTTCAATCGCTCGCTCTTCAATCTCCTTCAATCGAATGGCATGACATGTTTTGGCGCTGGTCATTTCGACAGAACAATGCTTTCCCGTGGACTCCCTTAACTAACCTTCTTTTGGCTTAGATGCATAGGGGTTAATCCGAAACATTGGGTCCGCATGATTTACCAAGACGTGATGTTTAGTACCCTCCTTCAACTCATGAGTTTTTATAGTTACTTTCGGAACAACAGTTCACTTGAACAACCGTAAAAATAATTAATAAAGATAATTAATATTCACAACCTTATTAAGGCGAATAATCTGATGAAGAGATCAGGCTTATTGAGGACGCATAATGGAATATGACCAGTGTTTGGATAAATCGGTTCACTGACTGACGGTTCTAGTGGTCGTTGTTGCGAAGGCATGTTGCACTGCTGCAAAGAAATTATACTTCAAATTATCAAAAGACGAATTCACTTCAAGTCCGATATGATAAATAACACTAGAATAGAATACAGCTGAACATTCGGTCCAATTGCAAAATTGAAGAAGATCAGTGAAACTGTGGATGGATTTCGAATGGGTGCTCAGTGGTTTAAGTGAATCCAAAGAACGGAATTTCCTCATTCTCAGGAAAAAATTTCCATTTATAATTGAAATTTCTTCACTAACCTTAAACAATTCAATAAGTTTAATGGCTTGATTTTGCGTCTCGTTGTATCGCTCCGAAGTTTCTCGATCTGTTGTTGCCAATGACACTATAAATTATTGCGTTTCACTATTCTTTATCACCTCTATGGAAATGATTACAGATAACTGCATGAAATAGTACTGAACGAAGCCGTCATCACATATATGCATGATACCATCATGGAGTACATGAAATCACGAAATACTTCAATGATCACGTACAATAGTAAACGGCCGGATTCTCGTTGTTCGGACATGGATACCCGTTTTGACGGAAATAATACGGCATTTGTTTGTTATATCCTGAATGTATCTCATCTTTCATCAGAACACTGCTACAAGCAACACATCACAAAGAAACAATATTAAAAATCCACTTAGCAGCAGCTTTTTGCGGTGATAAATTTATGGAGCAGTTATTCGGGATCAAAAAAACTATAATAATGATAAGATTAACAATTCTTGTTATTTTGATCAGCATATGGTACGTAATAATAATAAATGAACCTGAATAAACAGTTTGCCCATAGAAGAGGATCGTGATGCGAGTCATTAACTGATAAATATCCGAACGGGGATATCTCATCGAGACAATCGCCATTCGGTGGTAACGTATCATATACGAATTCAGTAATGACATCAACTGATATCCACATAAAGCGTCGATACCCTTTGTCGGATCATCCATAAGTATCAGTACTAGAATCGTTTCATTTCATACCACTGCTACTACTTTATCATTATCAAAAAAAAGATGAGTACAAGGAGTTGCAAATGGGTAAGAGCAAAATATCCTTAAGAGACTGAAGGAGTAGATGGCGGGTAGTTGAAATATGTTTGTTTCATACAGAAGGCGATACACATGCAGAAAAGCTGTAGTGTTAGCTCAATATGAAATACTTGAGGTGAATAAAAGACTGAAAAAATGAACTTACCCGGGTCACTGAGTAAATATATGCAGAACAGTAAACGTCTTTTAGCACTCTTTCGGAGACTCTTAACCTTTACGTGACCATATGTAATTAGATCGAAATCTTGCATCAATGTTACTACCTATAAGTTTAACTTTGAATTTCATCCTCCAAATAGATTTCAACGTTATAAGCCAATTTAGGACTGGTTATTAATGGCAGACCAAGTTATCTCACGACCACATACTGACCGGCTTTGCGAGGGCATAAAGCTAGCTCTACATATGAGACGACACTTGCGGCTTATGCTATCGAAAATTAGCCGCAACAAGATTTGGATTAGCCACACCTGATTTGAACATTTCCAATTTAAGCTTGATTTGATAAATGGAAATTGCGTCGTAATTCAGGCACTACCCAACTACGCGTATATTTTCTCATCATGAGAATTTTCTGACGTGAACAGAACATCGATTTAAAACACTAACTCTTTCCTTTTTACGTTTATCATCTATACCGGAAATCATCAGTTCCGCATAAAAGTCGAGTGTTGATTTGACAGTCAGTGTCGGTATTAACGGTTGACTGAAGGAAATATAGGCGCAAAACTTGTTGAAGCGATCAGCTGAAAATCATACGCTTAATCGACAGATCTGTTTTTCGAATATCTGTTTTTCGCATGTTTTGACGATTTTCGATAGGTGAAGTTTTCAAATTTGAACACTTTCCATGCATAATATCAGTGATGTGTGCAGAAGATTCTTTATCGAAGGATGTAAAATTTTTTTAATCTATCATTTGCAGTCAATAAAACGCACCGGAGAAGAACCATGAGGGAGCATTCGTCCGAAAATTCCAACAGAGGAATTCATCCCTCTGAACCCCTGTTCTCTGTGAGTCCGTGTATCGATGAAGTTTGTTGTGCATTTGCAAAAACATCACTATCAGAAATCGGACAAACCGGTGGATTGAATTGCAAAGGACAGCTTGTTGAGCTCTATGTCTTATTGGGCTATGCACAATTGACGGTGAGAATAAACAATAGCTGAAGGGATATTCAAAATCAGTTACCAGTTAGCACTTCTTTATTTAATGTTATTTGACCGTTTAGCTGCCCTTTATAACGCCCCGCAATTACATTCAGCAGCGATGTTTTCCCACTTCCTGCTCAACGAAAACAACTGATTATGAGGAAATAAACAAAAAAAAGACGAATTATATGAGATCAATCAACCGATTAATTGAACTGTGTATGAATATACAAGTTAAATTATTTGTGATATGCACTCTCATGACACACAGTCATTTATAATGCATAGGATGCTTTTACTATTTCATATCTGACAGCAAAATGGGGCTATTCGCCTTCAATAAAACCATACGATTAAGATGGATTGATTTTGGGCACTGCCTTATTTTGCAGTTACTTTCTTGCAGAATTTCCCAACAAATTAAAGCATGTTCATAACTGAAGTGAAAGTGATTTAATATTCACCGGCCACTCCAGTAATTCCATGTATTTCATCAGAGTGAACTTCCAACGAGACATCATTGAGAAATTGTGCATGCAACGGTGGATTATACAATTGCGCATACCTAAAATGGCATCAAAGATGTAATCAACCGTAATCGGACATCTACGAAGCAATCATCTAAGAAGCAACAATCACTTGAAGAAGCAAAATCATCTGCCGGTGGAGATCATTTCGTTAAGGGGTCGAGAACTAATCTGTTCACTTCATCCGTTTAGAAAAATCTTCGCTGAGATTTCAGTGCAAATCTCGCTTCATTTGTAACTGAATTTACTTAACGCTTTGTTGTCGTTGTGAGCAATTCTGATTACGCAGAAATTTTGCGATGAATATACAGAATAGAAAATTCATCCGAATAAGAATCTCAAATGGTACCATTTTCCAACGTTGATGGTTTTGACGAAAGATATGTTTCGACATTCCAGCACATATTTTTCATCAACCAAATTAGTGTTTATCATTTCAGCTCGACACCTAGAATGCCCATATCATTATGTAAAATTACTCATTGGCATTGATTTGTTGGAGGCCACCGGTATTCGATGGCCTCCAACCGAAATCGAACAACGTTCAACGTAATTTGCTTGACTGGCCGCTACAAAATATCAGTGGCGCCCATGCGATCGATGTTCAGTCGATGGTCACTGAAAACGAATCGCTAGTGCTAACTTAACTTTGCATCGTTATAACAAATTAATGATTCTGTCTCATATCAAAATAGCAATAGCTTTGTAGTAAATCCAGAACATTTACGAATTCTTAACATTAACACCTTCCGACCGACTTAGGATGAAACCGATCCTTGAGGTGCAAAACTACTCCGACCTGCGCCTATGCTTAATTGTGACACTGAGATGACATTGAGTTTAAGTTCGGTTTCAGAAACTGAACAATTAGAAAATGGAGAAAGACAAGAGAAACACTACTCGGGAGACCTCCAATAAGATGGAAAGACGATATTACAAAGAAATTGGGTAACACCTGGCAAAGGAAAGCAAGATCAAGGACCGAATGGAAACGCATTGTGGCCAGCAATGTTACAAACGTTTGATAGCCTGCTTGCCAATCCAGGTAGAAAATGGAGCATTTTGAAAGCAGTGTTCATCAGTGCAAGAAAACTGATTCAGATGAACGATGTTCACAGAACATCTTCGTGCGATTAATTACGTTTATCGTTTTGCGAGAACAGTTTCATTCGAAATTTCAACAACAAACTATTCAGAGAGCACGCTCGACCTTTCAAATAATAGCAGTGAAATATGAACAGATACGAGCCAAATCATATCTTAGCTCAGCATCGGTAACACTGCTATACTACTTGGTTACCGGCTAAACTTTTCTGCACGAGCAAGAAACGAAAAGTCGCGAAAAGTCTTTCTCGAAACTGAGTGGTGTATCAGCGTCACTCTGCAATAATAGTTATGATTTGGTCATATGGATGATAAAACAGCCACTCATGATAATAATGGTAATGAATGTTTGAATAATATCACTGTTAGTAAGGATAAAATAGTAATAATAATAGTAATAATAATTTAAATTTGATCAAGTAATGATTATCAAGTAATGAATAGTGGTAATAAAATAGCCCAAGTAGATAGATCATGCAGCAATTCGCAAACAAATCAATGTTAAAAAGGAGCGATTCAGTTGTACGCACAGATGAGGAAGGGCAGGTGAACAAATAAAAGGTATTCATGTGCCTTAATAATTTGACGATTATGAGGAGAATGTTGGTGCAATTGATTGTATGTCTGTGATGGATAGGACTTGAGACTTACGTTTCATCTATATACAAATGGATTTTCGCAATAAACATTGCAACCTCTTTGGTCTCTCTTGCATGCATATTCTTTGTATAACTCATCATAACACAGAGTCATTATCTATCTATATTCCGCTCAAATAATGCGAAAACTTAAATTGTATGCATTGGTTGTCTGTTATAGATTGAAAAAAGTGTGGTGCGGAGACTTTTCGGGGACAGGGAATACCCCGAAAATGTCCGCGGCTGGAAAAACGTCTGGGACGTTACAGGAACCCTGAAATTCTCCGCACCAAACTAGGTTAGAGTAACCTCACCTCTAATCTCACAGTCACATAACCTTTCGAACAGCCGAATATAATATATCCCTCATCGACACTATTATGTTACTAATCAAATATTCGGAGCATGCATTCGTGAGATACAATGTAAACCTCCAATCTCACAATCAGATTACTCTCCATAAAATTCCTCAATGCAATTATATAGCATCGTCATTGAAACGCATGATACTAATGACACTTCAACATGATATGGATCAGGTGAAAAATCTCTCCCAAGTATTGCTATGGAAGCACAAAGTTTACAAAGAGAATTTATTTGAGATTTTGTGGATGAGATAGTTTACAAGCTTGAAACAGTCATCACAGAGCATGAAACCTTGTAATAGAGCGTAACTGAACTCATACAAGCAAGGTAAACGATTGAAGAGTTCCCTGTGTAATATTGTACGCCACTTATGGGCAAATAGATAAAAATTGAGAATTTCGTGCGGTAAGTAGCTTTCGCCATAGTTCATGTCATGCTCTTTCACAGATCATAAATTATCACAGCCCATCAGACGTCGAGAACCCATGATCGCTAGCTGACAAGAAATGGAACCCAACGACAATTGTAAAACCCTAAAATGAGGTAGATCATTTGAATAATGAAATGCGATCAGTGATTAGCAGTCAGTCCTCATTTAATGACAGAATTCGGTGATTTAATGAAAAAGTTCATCAAATCAAACTGAATTGAATTCACATAAGTGATAACCGTTAATACGAAAATTTGTATTTTTTTCTTGTATCAAGCCAGGCGTTTTTATTCATAAATCATTGAAAACTCAATTAGAATTTCTTTTTCATGCGCGCGACGATTCTGGAATTGAAAACGTTGTTCATGTTGCTTTCCGAGTTTAAATTCAGTACAATTTGATGGGGTTGGGGGAAGAAGACGGATCGGATAATGGTGACTAAAATGTATTCAAACAAGCGATTTTCTCACAATTAACAACAAGAGGGTTTTTGTTGCATGTTGACAGTCATTCCATAATAATATGCAATTCAACATGCTTTTAAAGCTTTATAGGTTATATCATCTCTGTGCATGCTCACACACAAACTGAGGAGCATATGAATGCGATGTTCCCTCACCTACTTCCCGGACATATTCAAGTTTTCTGACGAAATCTTCCAATATCACCGAGGCCTTTCTCATAACCAATCGTAATTGCTGATGAGGAAAGGCTGCGAAATTAAACGGGATCAGAAGTGAGATGTGATGGGATCCTATATCATCGAACACACTTCGAAATCCATTCCAGTGCTCTTTTCGAACTTTGCCGATGATCTCTGGTTACTCTTACTCACAACCACAACCATCAAAGAGGACAAGCACCTCAGTCATATATCTCTTCTTAAATCTGTTAAAAGAAAATAATCTCTGAAACAAAATTTAATCGCACCGACATGAAAAATTACAGCGAACAGAGCCAAGCATCAGATCAAGCGAATACAAAGCTTCAATCATAAAACTAAAACGTTCACAATACAGAAACCTTTTCATCAAGCAATTACACGAGGAAAGAGATGAAAGAAAGGAAGTAGCGACAGATAAAGCATGCTAAACTTTTTCTCCATTTTAAAGAAAGCTTACTGGAATAACAGAATGGAAAGAAAGGAAAATGCAAAAGAATAAAATATTTACAGTTTGGCTGCAAATATGAAGAGATTTATATACATTAAAAGAGCTAATCCATACTTTAGAATATCTTTATTGCGATCAAGTACTGAACAAATGGAGACGTTTCACAGATTTACTAGAATTCGATCAATCGCATTCAGAAACAACACCACTTATATATTATTGGTATGGATGCCGGAAGAATTCGATGAAACCTTTTTTTCAAAACCCACCGAAGTTTTGAGCTGAGTTTCGCTCCTCTTCAAGCCAAGGATTCTGCTCAGCCTTTTACTGAACTTAAACAATTCAGTATAAACAGACTTTTTTGAATTCAGCATGAGATTCTTCGAGCAAGAGTTTGACACAGTCTTTCACGAAGTTTTGCGACAAAGAATGCTCAGGTAACCGGTGGAATTTCTACAAAGGAAGGCTCTTTCAATGACCATACTGCAAAAATATTTGGTGATGTTGTATTTCAGGTTGGCAGAATCACAACGGCATTTCGTTCGTGCGAACATTTCTTGCTGTGCTCTAACTAAGTAACATATTCAACTGCGAATGTGAACCAAACGACGTTTTGATTTTAACAACTTAAAATACAAAATTACCAAAATATTCGATAAATTGAAAAACACAACAGAGAGCGTGAAAAATAAAGGGCAATCCGAAGAAGTAGTAGAATGGAAATGTGTTGAACACGTCACGAGAACAAAAGTGTGAAAGCGCCGATAAAACAAACCGAAATTATCAAAGTAAAGCTGAAGATTACAGGGGAAAGAGGGGACTAAAATCTTGAAGATGAAAACTTTAAGAAATTTGTTTCAAGGAAACCAATGAAAATTCCTACTTAAAAAACCATTAATTACATATAATGAGGAAAAAATTTTCATTGAACAGAGAGAGCACTGTAGCAATTTGAAATTCTCAACCGAAAACTGAAAAAAAATCAGAAATAAAGAACGAACAGAATGACGAACGTAAAGAGGAACAACTGAAGAGATTCATAAACCAACATCACTGTAAAGCACTGAGATGGAACAATTGATAAAGAATGGCAATACCAAGCGGGATGATCGTTACAATCGGCAATTTACGCAATTAAGCACGCACATAAAATGAGATAAATTAAAATTCGCAACCTATAACAGAATAACATCAGAATTTTTAACCATATAAATATGCATCATTGACAAGACATTACTGAAGCTGAGTCAAAGTGAAATACAAGAGAAATTCTATTACAAATAATAAAATTAATAATAATAGAATAGCAGTAATAAAAACGACAATAATAATAATACTACAAGTGAACTGCGTAAAGCTTGATGTAACGCATTGAGATTTGAGTTTATAAAATGAGCAAATCCACCGAAGAATACCGTAAAAATAACGAACGAACTGGAATGATCTCACAAAACGTAAAACATAATAACTGACCATCATAACAACACTCAAATCAGCAAACAAATAAGCAACAAAGGCAGATTGAATTATAGAGATAGCTTGTTGAAATTCTTATGAAAATAAACCCAATTGAAATCTATTCAATCTTCAATTCCACCGGCCATCACAGTGAACTTTGTTGTCTTCCAATACAACTTTCTCAGAATTTGCTGCTAATATCCAAAAACAGTGGTGACAATGATCCAAACAGAAATGGATAACGATACAACATAAAGATAGTGGAACTGAGAGCGCGATTAGCTCATTACAATTTACCGAATTTTATATATACGTGACATTTTGTAAAACAACAGGCTAAAACGATATCTGCTGCATTTTGCAATATTTAAGCAGAGGCTCAAAACGCTCATGGCACCCTATTTGAAAGAAGAACTTTCAAATAATTGCCAAATAAACATTTGCGGTATCATTTGAAAATGAACATTTTGAAATGGGATCGCATTCTGTGTTAAACCAATTAATCCGTTTGAAATAATTCACACATCACTTCTTGTCTAAGAAATACAATATCAACTCCAATACGAATATCAACACCAATTCAACTGGGTGTGACAAAGTCGCCATCTTCGCCGAATGCAGAACCTTGCGTAGAACCTGAACCAGGTTGACGGAGTTCACCACTTTCGCCACTTGTACTGCGCACTCCTCGGCCGTAACTGCTTCCCAGATCACCTGAATTCATCAACTGATCATATCATATCAAACAAGCATCACCATTTCGTAACGAGGCGATTTTTTTTCATGAATTCGCTACAGAATGCAGCAGTCAGCAAAAATTTAGTTCATTGCATCCTTGAGGAAGACAGTATTTCAAAGTGCAATCTTTCAAACCCATTTACCATCCAACAACACTTTGTTTAGTAAAAACTGAACAGAATGATCAGCCTCAATTTTGGGCGACAAATCTTCCTCCACGTCCCAAAAATTGAGATCTACTGAAAAACTCTCAAGCAACAACTGAACACTGCTCCAATCCCATAAGGATCACTTGCTTGTGGTTCGGTGTTAATATCACATCAAAATTGATAACACCCACTTCCAAATCTCGAACTACTCGCACGTGTTAAACCGGATCTTTTGGCCATCGCAGCCGAGCTCTTCAGCTGTGCATTCTCTCGCGACAACGTTTCGTTTGTCTCATTCAACTCGTCGATTGTTCGCTGTAATTGTCTTATTTTCGATCGTTCGCGACTCGTCTCTTCTTCCAACTCTTCCAACTGACGTCTTATTTCTCTGCTTCGAGCGTTCGCACGTTCCACCTTCAAACGAATCAACTTCAAAATTCATATTCACATCCAAACCAACAAGCCCAACAATAGAATATACGTCTCAAAAGTAAAAAAAAAGTAGAGAAATATGTGATAAGATAATTTTGCACTTCACTATATAGCAAACGAAGAAATGCATAAGTACCCGATATTGCAATTTTCTTCATTCGCCTAAGTTCAAATCTTCATTCGTAACTCTCCCTACCGAATCTTACGAACAATTCCGCTAATATATGCAGCAATATAATTAATTACCTCTTATTCCCCAATAATTCTTGAAGCGAACAATCTTCAAAATTGAATTATCACATTTCGAATCTAACATTTGATAAACGCTAGAGACCAGAAAACAATGATGAGAATGCTTTCACTCGCATATAAGTGAATGTTTTTTTTTNNTTTTTT